GATGCGGGACTCGATCCAGGGACTCCAGGATCATGACCTGAGCCGAAGGCAGTCGCTTAACCAGCTGAGCCACCCAGGCGCCCTCAACTCAGGTCTTGATCTCAGGGTCATGAGTTCAAGCCCTGCATTGGGCTCCACGCTGGGCATGGAGCCTACTTTATTTTGTAAATTTTATTTTATTGTGTTATGTTAATCACCACACATTACATCATTAGTTTTTGAGCCTACTTAAAAAAGGATAGAGTCCAATAGGGGCCTGCCCACGTATAGACAGAAATTATGGTATAATGTAACCTATGTATACAATGAAAGACATGTACAAGGCAAGATGCTTTGTAGATGATTATTTTTTTTTCAGAGTGAGGCAGGAGAGTTGGGTTTTATGGAGAGGAAGACTGAGAATGATTCAGGTAAATAAAGATTGGCTTTTTAAAAAGTCAGGTTTTTATTGTTGGAGGGCATTCTCGGCAGAGGGAGTGTTATTGAGGAGGCATGAAATGGCATGTAGCAGGTAGCTGGATATTGTTGGAATATAAATTGTGAGTAATGGAGGGGAGATCATGGTAGAAGGGAGTACAAGGTCTTTGTCTTCCAGTGTCTTGCATGCTGTACTTTAGCACTTGAGTTTTTTCTGATACCTGGTGTTCAGCTTAAAGCAGTTGAAAAGATGTAAGCCAGGGGAGGGAAGAAGGGAGTTGAGTTAGCTCCCTTAGTTAGCCATCTAGAGTTTGGGTTGGAGAGGAGTAAGATTGGATGTAGGAATACTAGTTAGGAAGGTTGAAAGAAGTTCAGGAGTGAGTTTTAATTTAGTAAGCTGGTTTAACTGATCTGAGATGTTGAAATAATGAACAAAAGCATGATGAGGTATGCAGAAAAGAGGAAAAACATCAGAGAGGTAGACTGTGCAATCGAGTGGACCCAGAGATTGGTTAAAGAAGCATACGAGAGAGTAGTCTGGGCTTTGGCCCTGGGTTCTTGATGTGGTCACCAAAAGGAAGCAGAAAGAAGCAATAAGTGGATTTCAAGTATTGGGAAAGATGGGTTCAGTTTTGAGCATTTGGAGTTTGAGGTGCTAGTGATGCATCTAGGTGGAGATGGCCAGTAGGCAATTGGATATAAAGATAAGAAGGAGTTCATTGGAGAGGCTAAGAGGAAAACTGTCACTGTAGGAATCACCAGTATATAAGTAATGATTGGTGAAGGAGGACATAGGGAGTGGGAAGAGGAGAAAGCCAATGGTGGAACTCTGGGGAATATACGAATAGTTGAAAGATATTCTGAGGAGGCAGATCATGGGAATGAGTAGAAAAGAAGTAGACTGGAAACAAGGTGTTGTAGGAACTGAGGGTAAGAAGAATTTCATGAAGGAGTAGGTGTTAGTGTCCAAAGCCAGAAGTAACATGAGCAATTGGTTGGCTCTGGAAATGAGACGGTCACTTAGAGCAGTTTGGGAGAGAGGAGCATTTCTACGGGAATGCTAATTTGCATCCTACCATTGCCACTTACTCTGTGACTTGGGAAAGCCATTTTACCTCTGGCACTTTATTTGTAAAGAGGTGGAAACCCTCTCAGTGGGTTTCAGTCTTTGATCTGTGGAGCCCCACAGGTTCAGAAAAGGTGCTTTGAGGCCCATCAAGGAGATCCAGTGTTTGATCAGATATTTACTGGGGGAAAGAGGTACAGGTATTCTACTGATTCAAACAGAGCAGGTAGGGCAGCTTGATTTTTTTTGTCTATTTTGTGTATTTCACTTTAGTATAAGATTTCATTTGAAAAAACACGGTATAAAATAAGAGATTTGAAAACTGCTGGTCTACAGGAACCATAAGAGACTTTGACACATTAAAAGTTATATAATTAATAGCTTATGTTCAGAATTCCCATACTAGATGAAGACTGTAGTATGTACTAACTTGCTCGTGGTTTGGATTTTATTAGAGGTCAACATTAGTGTCTGAGTTTATGTGATAATAACTGTTGTTATTCTCATTGGGAATGAAGACCGAACTTCTAAAAAACTCTATTCTAGTTTATATTTTGTTAAAAAATTTTTGTGTGTCTTACCAGGTTCTGACTCTGAAGATCTTTTGGAAGAATTGCTCTGTTGTTTGATGCAGTTAATCACTGATATTCCGCTCCTGTAAGTTCTGGCCAAGCCAGGATTTGCTTTATCTTCTTTGTATATTGAAAATGGCGATTGATCATGTCAAAGAGTTTGTGGGTCCTGGTATTGTATTTTTATGTATGCCTTTTACGTATGCCTCTGTGTCTGTCCGTGGAGTTCTTCTGTATCTTTTGCTTGATAATATTTATACTCTGACTATGCATTATCAAACAAGAATTTTATGTTATAAGGAGAACCTAATCAAACTCTTTAGGAATATTGAGCAAATGATAGGCACAGAATTAATCTCTGTAGTGATATCTTACAGATGTCTTTTAACAGGTGGAAAGAGAATCTAACCCATATGTGGTAGAGGCAGCTCGTTAGCCACCCAGGATTCTCTTCCTTCTTCCTTACTTCCTGATTTCTGACCTCTTTTGGAGAGGTTGGATTTCCATTTCCAGTTTTTTTTTTTTTTTTTTTAAGGATTTTATTTATTTATTTGAGAGAGAGAATGAGACAGAGAGAGAGAGCATGAGAGGGGGGAGGATCAGAGGGAGAAGCAGACCCCCTGCTGAGCAAGGAGCCCGATGCGGGACTCGATCCCGGGACTCCAGGATCATGACCTGAGCCGAAGGCAGTCGCCCAACCGACTGAGCCACCCAGGCGCCCTCCATTTCCAGTTTTTTTTTGAAGTTAGGTGCCCTGAGATGTAGGGGGACATCTTCCAATAGAACTTCTGGGTACGAGGACCTGCCTCAGCTAGGAGGCGTATCTTTTTGTTCTTGACAGTCCTCTTTCCTGCTATCTGGAATGTAGTCAGCGTACTGGGAGTTGTGTGGCCCTCTTGGCACCATGAGCCCAGAGACCCACAGAAAATTCTGCTTTGATTTCGTTGAGCTGCTGAACCAAAGTCATTACCACCAGCGCCTCCTCGCCACTTCCACCCCAGACTTTTCATGTGAGAAAAATACATCCTTATTTGTTTCCTGGCACTGGATTTCTGTCACTCCAGCCGAACGCAATTCTTATATGCTATAAAATGTTCCTTTTAAAGAAGTTACTTTCAGCTTTTGTCTCTCTGGAGCCTTTTCAGACATTTTTGTAATTGCCTCTCCCCACTAATGAAATTTGAATACCCCAGATGCACTGAATGTCTCTTTATGTACTGTGGCCCTTTGGAGGGCCACAGATCATTATACTGTCTGTGAAGTTTTTCACCCCTAAAAAATAATTTTCACTCTCTTGGTGGTATCACCCACTGAGAATGCATATTTTAAAGGAATTATTATTTTTTTTAAAGGTTGTATTTTTTTTTTTTTAAAGACTTTATTTATTTATTTAACAGAGAGAGACACAGGGAGAGAGGGAACACAAGCAGGGGGAGTGGGAGAGGGAGAAGCAGGCTTCCCGCTGAGAAGGCACCCCCATGCGGGGCTTGATCCCAGGACCCTGGGATCATGACCTGAGCCGAAAGCAGATGCTTAACGACTGAGCCACCCAGGCGCCCCTAAAGATTGTATTTTTAAGTAATCTCTACACCCAACGTGGGGCTCACATTTAATAATCCCAAGATCAAGAGTCATGTGCTCTCCTGACCGAGCCAGCCAGGCGCCCGTAAAGGAATTATTTTTTGAATAAAGAAGAAGAGTTTAAGATTGATCATGACAGAATCTCCGTGAATACGGGGATATCATTGGACGTGTGCTGCTTGCCTGTGGCCCAAAAAGGAAGGACCAGGTATTCGTGAGAAGACGGCCTCTGGCCTCTGTTGTGCATAAGTGCAGCATCCAGAATTGTAATCTAGATTTAGGAATGAGAACCACCAAACCCTGTGGTAACTTGGTCTGCTGATGTGCAGCCTGGAAGGCAGGGCTGAAGCAGTGGAGGAATCACCTGGTGGGGAAGGGCACAGGGGAAAACGTCCCATGTAGGTGGATCTCGTGTGGCAGACACAGTTAACTTGAATTTCTGATGTCCTTTCTCACCTTTCTAACACATCTCCAGCATTGTTTGGGGGACCGGTGTGTGCCCAGCTGAGTTTTCGGGCACCTCAGGAACTAAATGTGGCCCTGTGACATGGTTTGGGCCAATGCTGTGTAAGCAGAAGTCATGAGCTTGCAGAGCATGTACCTCCAGCTTTTTTGCCCGCCGCCCTTCTCTTCCTTCCTGGGATGTGGAGGCAGTGCTGGGACCATCTTGAAACGAAGAGGAGTGCCACGTGCAAAGAGGGTCCCAGGAGCATGGGGTAGTAATGATGCTGTGGTGCCATTACACCAGCCCTAGACGACTTATCTTTGGATTTCTTCTTAAGTGGAAAAAACAAACACACACTCACTTTGGTTAAGCCACTGTGGTCAGGCTTCTGTTACATGTGGTCAAATGTGGGAAGGGGAGCACATAGATGGTCTACTATTTACTTGCCATTGTATGTGCAATGCTTCGTGTGTTCTTGCCTTAATTTTTAAAATAATTCCATCTCTGTTATGTTTATGTCATTACTAAACACCAGCAGTTTAGTATATATCCTCAGTGAGTACATTCTTCCCCCCTCCTTTGTTAATAAAATGTCTTGGTGAAGTTAAGGGGAATGGAAGTAGTAAATCTCTTCAGCTAGTAAATAAGGCTTGAATACAATGAGTAGACCAGTCACTTAAACACTCTTGAGGAGCAAGCAGCCAGTGTTGTAATATATCAAACATTTCAGTGTTTTAATGTGTTTATACTTTTTAAATGAACGGAAAATGCACAGACCACCAGATGTCTTGTATTATGTACACTCAGCTTTAACCAGCTGCTGAAACAATTTCTTATGATTTAATGTTCTTGGAACTCCATCCTACAAGAAGGTTTGTCTTGGTAACAGTTGCCATGTGAAACCAAATTACTATTTAAATGTTTCACGTACTATAACCGTAGTGCAATGCTGTGGATCAGCTTCTGACTTAAGGGGGAATATGGACTTGAAAAGCGGGGATGCTCTCCTTCCTGACCTTCATCAGTCTCGCTGTAGACTTGTCATGTTTAACATCGGCATGGCCGTGCTGCATCAGCAGGTGCGTGGCAAGAGGAGTGTGGCGTTCGTGGCCACTGAGGGCAATTCAGAACTCACTTAAACATTTCTCATGAGACTGTGAAATCGTTCTATTAATATTGGAAGCCAGTGATTACCGAGAGCATAGATAGATATTTAGAGATCTATACACTAAGTTTGAAATGATTCTTTGTTATTAAGAGTACAGGGTCAACTGCACTAGTTTAGATAAACTTCCAGAATTTGTAGGAATTCACTTGTAATAATGCTTGACTTTTAAGTAGTTAGTGGATACTGCTTCTCAGACAGGTTGGGTGTTTTGATAAAATATTCATTCTCTGAGATACTAATCTTCAAAGTCTGATTGAAACCTACATCTTCCAGTGTAATACAAAGAACGTGGTTTGGCATGCCAGAGTTGAAAGCGCAACACTTAGAATTTGTGGCATGGATCAGTTCTCACAGTGTTACTGTTGAGGGGCTGAATGAGACCCCGGTGACTCAGCTCAGTGGTGGGGCTTCGGTTGGCCCCCAGCAGCAGAGCTATATTGTTTGATGGGCCCAGTACTTAGGTTTGCTCGTGATGCTGTCTTATTATGAAGTAGAAGTTATTTTGAGAACTTTTAACTTGTCTTTTTACCTGTTTTTGGTGGTGGTTTTGTGAAAGCCGTCACTCTTATCTGTATATGGTGATGCTCTTGTCAACCATAGGTCCTACCACTTTCCCTAGGTCCCTGTGAGGTCTGCTTGGAGTGGGCCATTCTGCTGGCCCCAGGCCAGACATGCAGCCTCCTCCTCTGAGATCCATTTATGTGTTCTTATCAACCTGTGAACTCAACTGTTCGGTTCTCAGCCTGGCCCTCATTTGCAGATTTTTCAGTTATAATTTTATAAGAATGTTTATCTTTTTCTTTTTTTAAAAAAGATTATTTATTTATTTATTTGGGGGAGAGTGAGAGAGAGAGAGAGAACACGAGAGGGAGAGAGAATCTCAAACAGACTCTGCGCTGAGCCTGACGTGGGGCCCGATCTCACGACCCTGAGATCATGACCTGAGCCGAAACCCAAGAGTCGGATGTTCAACCGACTGAGCCACCCAGGTGCCCCAGAACATTTATCTTTTTTTTTTTATAAAAGTTATATATTGATAAAGCTGAGACATTCCTAATCGGTTGCTTTTACTGCCTTTTTCTAGGCGTGTCTCTTTATGCAGTGTGACTTTGTCTACCTCTCTAGTACAGGGGGTACTGATGTTACCTGCTGACCTCGTCCATCTCACTCCTGCTGCTTCAGCCACACAGGTGTCCATGCTAATTTGGAAGATGCCAACCCACTTCTGTCCCCCTGTCACCAGGGCCTTTGCCCTCGCTGCTTCTTCCATCTTAGATATCTCCCCTCAGATATCTGAATGGCTCCTGTCCTGACTTTGTTGCTTTCTTCTGCTCAGAGGAGGTCTGCTTCTTAGAAACAGCTGCTCTGACCACCCGAACATAGCAGCACCCTTGTCATTCTCTGCATCACGCTTTGTTTTTTGTCTTTACAATTACCACTGCTTTTCTTTTTTTTTTTTAAAGATTTTATTTATTTATTTGAGAGAGAGCATGAGA